ATTTATTTTAGTTCATAGTTTCGTGGCAGGAAAGCATGATGGCGTTCATGGCAGGAAGTGTGATGGCGTTCATGGAGAGAAGCATGACAGCGTTCATGGCAGCAGAAGAGACTCCGATGAAGACTCAAAGCAACTTGCCTACACCTCAGCAGCCAATCAGACACCACAGACCTCAGGTGACTCTAACCCAAAAGTCCTACCCCCATAAATGTCAGTTAGGTCCCATCAAAATAGCCCCGCAACCTCCAGAAGTTTTGCCAGCACCATCTTTTGCATCATTTGAAGGTACCATTTGAAAAGATGCCAGAGACCATCTTTTCAAACACATGAGCCTGTTGGGACCAAGAAAGCAATCCCCAAAGAGACAGCTCCTGTCTGCCTTTTTTACAGTGTGGTACCACATGTTATCAGGGGCTGTTGTACTAACTCCCTACTGGTCTGAGGATGATTTTTACTGTCCCTTCAAAATTCTTGTGTTGGGAACTCAATCCTTCAGATTCATGTATTGGTAGTATTTGGTGGTAGTTAGGGAGGCTAGTTAGCTTCTTGTGGCTATAACAAAATTCCTGACCTAAACAACTTAAAAGGAGAAAAAAATTATTTTGGATCATAGTTTCAAAGATTTTAGTCTACACTTGCTTGGTTCCACTGGAGTGGGACTGTGGTGGGGCAGAATATCAGGTGGAGGGGGTGTAATGGATCAGAAATGATTACCTCCTGATATCCAGGAAGCAGAGCTGGAGTGCCAGAACAAGATACAGCCCTAAGAACATGCACATATTAATCTATTTTATCCAGCTAGACACCACCGCCAGATGCAATTTTAGTACTTCCAAATAAGACCATCAGATTATGCAACCATCAGTGAGTTAATCTACAAGGTATATAAGAGACCTGATATAAACACCTCACAGTGAGTGAGTCCATTAGCTGCAGAATGTTAGTTTTCAACATGTGAGCTTCTTTGGGGTACTCATATCCAAACAACACCATTAACTGAAGTCATGAATGTGGAGCCCAATGATGAGACTAGTGGTTTTCAGAACAAGAGTAGGAGCCCTGAGCTGGCATGCTTCTTTCCTGATGCCTTTCGATGCAGCAAGAGGACCCTTACCAAGCAGTCCCTTGACTAAGGCAATGCCAATGGATTTCATGTTTCAGAGGAGTGAGACACTTACCAACAGCAGAGAGGCAGAGCACCTCCCCTGTGTTTGATGAGGAAGTCCTTACTGTTGGTATCAGGTTTGCTTGACAGAGACAAGCCCAGCGAGAGATGTGAGGCCCCTGGATAGCATATTGAAAGGTCTCGTCTCAGTGCTCCCATCAGCATCTGCAGAGAGCAGGGCTCCTTAAGCGCTCCACCACTTGCTTGCCTCACCCTGGTTCAAGTCATGTATGTTCCGAGGTTGTCTGGACTACTAAGACAGAGGGCAGCAGAACTTAAGAAACGGACAGAAAACTCAGAGGACCCTGCAAAGGGATAAATAAGCAGTTTCTCTGTGAGTCAGCATGGCGATCGTGTGCCTAGTAGTAAAAGAATTATCCTCTAAGTTTGTGCAATAGTACTTGGCATATGTGGTAGTCTAAAAGAAAATGGGACCATAGGCTCATAAGGGAGTGGCATTATTAGGAGGTGTGGCCTTGCTGAAGAAAGTGTATCAGTAGGGAGTGGGCTTTGAAGTCTCAGAAGCTTAAGCCACGCCCATTGAGGCATTCTCTTGCTGCTGTCTGTAGATCCAGATGTAGAACTCTCAGCTTTTTCTCCAGCACTATGTCTGCCTGCATGCCACCATGTTTCCCTCCGTGACAATAATGGATTAAACTTCTGAAACTGTAAGCCTGCCCCAATTAAATATTTCCTTTATAAGAATTCCTGTGGTCATGGTGTTTCTTCACAGCAATAAAATCCAAAATAAGCCATCTTATTTCATGGTTTCCTGAAGTGTATTAGTGTGTTAGTTGTATGCCATCTTGACCAAAAAAAAAAATTAGTATAATGTCTTTGAGGGGGAGTAAGACAGGGTTTTCCTGTGTAGCCCTGGCTGTCCTAGAACTCTCTTTGTTGACTAGACTGGCCTCAAGCTCAGAAATTCGCGTGCCTCTGCCTCCTAAATGTTGAGATTAAAGACGTGCGCCACCACTGCTGGCTTAGTATAATGTCTTAATTCTGAAGTATCTAGCAGGATGTTCATTGTTCATTGATTTTTAAAAATGGTTTCATTATTCATTTGTCAAATAATGTTAATACCTTTAATCCCAGAACTCGGGGGGGGGGGGGGGAGGGGGGGGGGGCTCTTTGATTTGGAGGCTAGCCTAGTCTACACCACAAATTCCCAGCCAGCCAGGACTGCACTATAGGACACTGTTTTAAAAGCATTATCATCATATTTCTCAGTTTTCTTTTGCATTTTGCTTATTACCAATATTTAAATTTCTCAGTATCCCACATTCCTTTGAGTGACGATTTTATTCAGCTACCTCAACTATCTTCAGTTCTGAGGCTGACGCCAGTTCTTACCTCTTGTTTCATCATTTATGAGTTTCTGATTGATGTCTCCTGATTTATGGAACACTCCTAAGCAATATTTGAAAGAAAAAAAAAAAACAGAGCTGAATCATGTGTTGTAACTCTGGTTTTAAGTGACAGAAAACTAGCCCAAACTCTGCTGACTCATCATCCTTTGAAATCCAGGAGCAACTTAAATACAACAGCAAATTCTGGCAGCAGGAAATTGTACCTGTATCTCTGAATTCTATTTTTCCTACCTTGCCTACATATTCAGGAAGCAGTGTAATATGTTGGGTCTCAGATTTGCATCCATTACCGTGACATCCTTCAGAGAGCAACATTGCTTTTCCAACAGTTTCTGAAAGAGTCTCAGCTGAGTGTCATTAACCTGGACAAGGTCACATGTCCAACCTTCCAGCTAACACTGGTGATTCTGGTTGAAGAGCACATGGTCCTGTGCTAGAGCCTCCTGGTGGGGGAGGGCTTAGTCCTTCAAACTACAGGAGTGTGTAGACAATACAGTTTACCCAAGGAAAACTAAGTTGTTACTACTAGGAAAGGGAGACATCCCTGATGGACAGGTAACAGCTCCCATTGTTGCCTAAGATTGCTACTGTGAATAGTTACCCTTCTGTAGAAACACTCAGCCTAAGATTTATACTGTGAAATAGTTACCCTTCTGTAGAAACACTCAGGTGGCCACCTGACTAACCAAGCATAGCCCTATCCCTAGATGACAGCTTAGTATGTCTCACAGTACCCTGTGGAGTGACTGGATTATGCTTCCCTCTGGGTCTGACTCAGCACAGAATGATGAGATTAAACTCCATCCTAGCATGAATAGTAATCTGCACAGGACCTGAATGGAGCTGTCTGCTGGTAGGGCACTTTGCCTGTTAGAGAACTTCAAGGGCAGCCAAACTCATATAGTCTTGTAATGTCCATGGAACCGAGTAAGGAAAGTTCTTTAGGAAAAACATAGTGGTTGAATAGTTTAAGTCATTATAACGTATTTGCTGTGGAATAATTTTTTTTATACACCCTGAAGATTTGTTGCTGTGATTGGTTTAATAAAGAAGCTGACTGGCTAACAGCTGAACAGGATAAAGTTAGGTGGGAAAGTCAAATGGAGAATGCTGGAAAGGAGAAGGGTAGAGTTGAGAGATGCCAGCCAACTACCAAGCAAGCAGGACATGTAGGAAATGAGGTAACAAGCCATGAGTCACGTAGTAAAGCATAAATAGAAATAAGGGTTAATTTAAATGTAAGAGTTAGGTGGTTAACAAGCCTGAGTTACCAGCCAAGCATTATAATTAATGCAAGCCTCTGAGAGATTATTTGGAAAGCGGCTGCTGGGACAGGAAAACTTCTGTGTACATGTATTAGTTCTTTTTCTTTTTTTCTGAAAGAAAAAAGCCCTTTAATTAGGACACAAACAATGCTATCACAGCAATTTCTTTAAGAAGGCCACAAACCTTTGCCCAGCCTCAAGTTCTGCCACCATCTGAGTGAACATCTGTGCAATAAAAACAGCCTCTTTCATTGAAATTCTGAAGAAAGGACTTTGTATAGTTGTTTTTTTTTTTTTTAAACAACAGTTCAGGTAACCCAGGCTGTCCTTGAACTGCCTACGCAGGTAAGGCTAACATTACTTCTGATGTTCCTGCTCCCAGCTGCTAAGCGCTGGAATTTCACGCCTACACCTCCACTCCCAGTTCATGTTTTGTGGGTATTGAGTCCAGGGCTTCCTGAATGCTTGCGTGCCAAGAGCTCTACTGCTCTGAATTCATTCCCCAGCCCCAGGAAAGATGTTTTACACTTCAGACTTTCATTATCAATTACATTTTTATGATGACATGAACTGGTCACAAAAATCAACTTTTTGTTTCTTGAACTTTTTTTTTTTCTTTTAGATGGAGTCTCTAACCCAGGCCAACCTCAAACCCCGATGAAATTAAGGTTGGCCTTGGACTTCTGAGCCTCCGGGTTCCAAGACCTTAACCAGTGGGATTCAGAAGACAATTTGCGAGAATCAGTTCTCTCTTCCCACCTTGCAGCATCTGGGATCAAACGCAGGCCCTTAGGCTTGATGACAAGTACCTTTACCCCCTGAGACATCTGCTGCCTCGAGAAATAGTACCTAGTCTTGAACTTCTTTTTCTCTCAATGATTTGATCAAATTTAAGCTTTATAGCTAGAGCTTAAAGTAGTGCAATAATAAGCACGTCGATAAAATATTAGTAAGCAATACAGATATGTTAATCTTGTTTGGGAGCATGGGATTAGAGCAAATGAAAAATAAACACAAAATATATCAATAGTCAAATAATACTTTATTTTTAGACAAATGGTATCTTAAAAAGAAATTTCCCCTTTCTGAACTATCCCCTTACTAATATTGTGTGTGGATCTGGAGTGTTATTTTATTTTATTTTATTTTATTTTATTTTATTTTATTTTATTTTAT